TTTAAGCAAGAAACAGAAAGGCACAACATTAAAAATTCAGAAATAAGACAAAGATGTACCATACCATAATTACTATTCAACATTTTGCTCTCAGTCTGGTCAACAAGATAAAATAAGAAAGAGAAATATGATAGATAACAAACACTGAAAAGACAGAAAAATTAACACTATTATAAGATGATATGAATTTTGACATAAAATCAAGAGAAGTAACTGATAACTGTAAAGTGTTTACTAAGCTGCTTCATATAAACTCAGTATGTAAACACGAGTAATTTTTCTACATATAAGTAATAAAAAATGGTAATGGAAAAAATATCCTTGTTTACAATTGTGGAAAACAACTGTAAACTGTTTTCAGTGGTAATGATGAAATTTTGGTGATTTCAAGGTAATGATGAAATTTTGTGTGATCCATGTAAATAAAACTGTAAAATTACCAATGGATATCAACTAAGACTTACAAATATTTTATTGCAAGTGACACAAACCCAATTCAAACCACCTTAACCAATTAAAAGAAAATCATTGACTTGTGATAATTAAGAATGATAAGGATATAGTTGGTCCCAGGCACAACTGGGTCTAAGGACTTAAGGAGATCCCTGGCTTTTTGCTATGCTATACATTTGTTTTTGTTTATCCTGTGCTCATTTGCAAGAGTGTTCCTCCCAGAATCCAGTCATGAGATTCAGACAGAACCATCAATTATAGTGCTCATCTCCCACTTGCAGGTTAATAGATAATCTAGCCCCTATTAGGACCTGAAATTGATTTTTATATCTTTTTTTTAAAGATTTTATTCATTTGAGAGAGGGAGAGAACAAGTGTGCATGAGTGAGGGGGAGGGGCAGAGGGAAAGGAAGAAGCAGAGTCCTCACTGAGCAAGGAGGCTGACTGACATGGAGCTTATTCCCAGGACCTCGAGATCATGACCTGGCCTGAGGGCAGATGCTTAACTGACTGAGCCACCCAGGAGCCCCTGATTTTTATATCTTTTGTAAACTTGAGATTCAGTTTCCTTTATCCCCTATTTTCCTAATATAATTTACCGAATATGTCTCTTTTTCTCCCAGTAATCCGTGTTGATGATATGTAATATTATCAAAAGGCTATTTATGCATAAGTATGATTCTGTTTCTGGGTTCTCTTCTGTTTTCATTTGCCCATCCTGGCCAACCCCACACTAGTTAGTAGATTTCTTCTTTTTCACTCCCTCTACTTTCCCTAATATCACAATCTTTGACCAAGTCCATTATATTTTCATTATGTAAATGAAGTTTTGGTGGAAACTTACAGGTCTGCTGTGAATTTCCCATTTAAATCAATGGCTTGGGGCAAAAGAGAAAACATGCAAGGAAATGAATTTCTGGGTACAGAAAGTTAGGAAAACACATGCCCCTACAAATCCAGTGAACTAATTATAAAGGGCTTCATGCTTCTACCATGAAGGTGGAGGGTGTCAAGGCAAATTTTAAATAAGCATCCAGGGCCTAAATAACTTCTATCACACTTGGGTTAACTGGACTTACAGAAATCCCTTTAGCTGCTTTGGATGGAACTGTCTAACATTCATAATTGGCATGTTGTACTAACACATTTTGATGTTTAACTCAACTTTATTTCACTATGAAGGAGTCATTTTTCTTTTAATATTTTTATTGGCTATTATCTGCTCAGGTTAATAGTGAGCACAAATATAGAAAAGTAGTACTTGTCTTTGAGTAGATGGCAAAAAAATATCAAGTGTATTTCATATATGGTTTTATGTGAGGAAAGGTGCTAAGTTCTTTAACTCATTCTTCAAAGACCATTTCAAAATTCACTTCTTCCATTAAGATTTTCCTGATTTCTTAACCCCATTCCTCAAGAGGTAACAGCATTTTTTTCCTGACTTTCCATAACATTTTATTTATTCCATCATTAAGACTCTTCTTGTTTCTGTTAGTAATATAGTTTTTTTACTGTTTATGTCTAATTAGTGCTCTTATTAGACTCTAAGTCCTTGAGAGCATGATCTAATTTGATTAACTTTTGTATTCGGTATAGTGATAAATTCAGTGTACTGCAAATATTCCCAAATTCTTAAGGATTAGGCATTCTTTCTTCTGTATTCTCATGCATATATCACATATGTACACAGTATAGTAATTTATTCCTTTACTTCTATCCTAATACACAGTAAACTCTTTGGAGAAAAATGTCAAATCTTGTGTATCTTTAGTTCTAAGTTCCTGGAGACTTTAAATCCTCATAAATATACCTGTTATGAGGAAATACCCTTAATATTTCTTGAACGAATGCACGAGTAAATGGCATAGTGAAAAAAGGAAAAGAGACTTGAGTTTGAAAACAAGTTCTGCCCCTTGGTGGCATGGATAAAGCATTCAAAGTCTAAGTGCCCTCATTGGTAACCTAGGGAGAATTCACTTACTGCTAGAGTTTGGCTTCTTTTAATGCACTTTGAAACTTCAGGGAATATATACTATTTAAGATCTGTGAAGTCAACAGGTTAGGATACTGAAAGACATTTCTTTTAAATTCTTCCCTAAGCAATCATCACTTTTATTTTCATTTTCTATCACTCATGCCTTCATCACCCTTGCATTCTTTGTTACCACATTTTTACTGTATCCCTTTTCTCAGATATGCTAATTGCTAAACCAGGAAAGCATCTTTGTTGCCCTTTGATACAATTATGGAATTCTTGCTACATCTTTTAGGATGTTTGTACATCTGTGAGTGGATGGGGGAGTGGCTTGGTGGTTGAGGTCTGTGTCTGTGTAATAAAATATAAACCTGAGGTATTCCTTATAGACAGAGCATTCTAACTCCAGATTCTCATATCAAGAATACTGGATATAAATTAGAATACTTCACATTTATAAATTAGAATGTTAGAATATTTTACACTGCTTTCCTAATGATTTATCATTACAATCCTAACAAGTCTCATGCCAGTACATCGAATAATACCGTTAAAAACTTGTTGAAAAGGAGGAGTTTTAAGTAGTACATAGAGGGAGTGGCCATTGTCCCTTGGAAAAGTTAAAGGGATTAACTATTTAAAAACCTTTCTTACATTTTACTCTATTTTCTTATGTAAAGTTCATTATTCTATATGGGATATTTGTTACAGTTACTTCATCACTTTTCTGCCAAGATTTATACACAAATTCTAAAATATTTTAGCTTCCAGATTTAATAGCAATTTGTACACTTTAGTGGACTTCAGACTTCACACCTGATTCAGTAATTTGATAGATTCTGAGACACTCATATTTTCCTCAAAAGATGGATATAATTGTATTTACAAGGTCAAGGCTTTGTACATTTTTTTTCACCAGGGCCAATTTATTTTGTTTAGATCCTGCCAAAGACGTCTAATCAAAGGCAGGCATCTGTGTGCTTCCTTGTAAAATCCTGTTTTAGCAAGAACCCTGCTAGGTCAGTTTACCAAGGCCCTATCCCAGGCCCCAATCTGATAACTCTTCATATATTAACAGGTTCCACATCCTTCACTATTCTCCAGGTGATGTATGATCACTCTAGCCTGTCTTCAGCAAGAATCACTTTAGGTTGGTTTAGCCAAAATTCCCACTCACCTCTAATGTTGCCTTGTAGTATTTTCCATACAGTGACCTTCACCTTACTCCTTGGCTGAAATTCTCACTTGCCCGTGATGCAGCTGGAGTTCAGGCCAATCTCCTGACCCACCGAAAAATTCTATCATCATGGTCCTATCTATCTAAACCTATCTCAGTGGTCCTGAATAAAGTCGGCTTCACCATCTCTAACTAGTGTCATGAATAACTTTTTCTTTAATGCATGCTCTATGTGCCAACAAAGTCTTACATAAAATTCAGATATCTTAACACTAAATGCCTGTTCCATAAAAAATATTGTTTTCAAACTGAAAATACAGTAAATTCTTTGTATGCATGGCATTTTTCATAAAGTCCTTTAATTGTGAAAAATTGTTAGGAGTTCCCTAAAAAGTGCAACTTACTTTCACAGAGAAAAATTTTTTTTTCCTTTGTATAGCGAAAGGAAATTTTCCCCCCTGTTACCCCTTTTTAGGAATCCTTCCTGAGCATCTTGCTGGCCTTGAGCCTCATTTTTTTCCCCAATGCCTAAGCATTGGACTAACACTTGGTAAGAATTTGGCTCTGGGGAGTGCTATGTTGAGTGACAAATGGACGAGGATGAAGGTTTTATTGAAGCATCTGAACCGCATTTAATTTTCTGTGTTGCTTTATTTGTTCCTTCTAGCCCTCAGGATATTGAGTTTTGTGGGCTCCGGTTGTGTCGCTGGTACTTCAGGCGTTTAGTAATAAGAAACATAATCTGTTTTTCCCGTTAGGATAATATCCTCATTTTTATTAAGGGCGGCTTACTACGAACTGTTTTACACAGTGTTTTTCTAAACCTCCTGAACGGACCAATTTTCCCTTTGAGCCCTGGCATTGCTTCGGCGGCCTCTGCTGACCTCCTGGCTTGGCAAACTGCAGCCTACCCCGCCGGAATCAAGCCTGACCTAGCATGGCCTTGCGCGCCACCGCCTCGCCAGACCCTCGCTCCCGCTTTCCTTCCACCTCCCTAGATCCAGATTCCATCCTGCTGCCTCAGCTGTCTGCGACAGCGACACCCCCTCCTCCCCTCCGCGGCTCCCCCCGCCAGCTCGCCGCGCCAGACAGCGGGTAACCGCCGCCTCCGCTGGGGCATCCCGGCTCCACAGGCCTAGCGCGCTCCAGACACCTGCCTCTCACTGGCCACCGAAGCTGCCCCTCAGCCCGCAGCCCCCTCGGCAATTGGCCCCAGGCCGTCCCTCGTCATCCTCGGCCTCGCCGCGAGTCCCGCCTCCGTCGCCGGGTCATTTAAGTTTATCACAAATAAATAAATAAAGGAGGAAATAGAAATGCGTAGAAAGTAAAAGCAGTCGGGAGGGGGCGGGGTGTGGAGGAAAAGGGGAGGAGGAGCGGAGGAGTAGACAACCAAACCTGATCGTGTCGGTGCTGACCAATCATGGTTCACTCCAATCCGGTCTGACGGGCGCTCTCAACCAATAGCCCTCCACCTCTCGGATCACTGAACGACGAGTTACGATTGACCTCTCCCGAGTGGGCGAAGGTGGGCAGAGGTGGGGGGGGAGTGGGAAGACTGTCGGCCAATCGCCTGTTAACCATTCTCTGAGCGAAGTTTCCGTTCCCCAATGGGTGCTTGAGATAGCGGATTGGGCCTCTTCTAACCCAATCGAAGGTGGTAGAGATGAGGAAAGAAGCAGATAGGGGCGGGGACGGGGGAGAGGAGGAGGAAGAGTGCATTTTGTTTATGGGCGGCAACCTCACGAGGGGCGTCCCACTCTTATTGGCTCACTGAAGTCAAGAGTGGCATAAGAACAACCCAATAGCGGGAAAAGATAGAGGGTTCGCGGCGTGAGGCACCCAATGTGGGCCTTCTGCCGAAGAAGTAGGGGCGGGGGGAAGTTTAGGAGTTGAGGAAAGAAGATTAAAGAGCGCGAGGAGGTAACCCCAAAAACTCTAATTTGTTGTGGGGCGGGTGGAAGGGAGGGGTGTGTGCGTGCGAGAGGGATGAGGCGTCTGCGAGGCACTGGAGTGGGGGGCGACGGGACGGGAAAGGAGGGGACTGGGGTGGGGTTGAGGGAACGAGTTAGAGTGGCGAGCCCGCGGGCTGCCGACTGGCCGAGCGCGCGCTCCCCCGCGCCCCGCCCCGCTCGCGCCCCCTCCCACTGGGCGCCCCTCCTCGCGCCGGGCGGCGGCTATGGCCTCGCGCGACCCGGCGGGGAGGGAGGGAATGCGGGAGGGTCCCGGGTCTTTGGAGCGGGCGGGTCGTCCCGCAGCTGGAAACGTGTCTTCTGCCTTCTTTTCTCTACTCCCTGCGCCTGGAGTTGCCGCTTCCAAGAAGAGGAGCTGAGGGGGACTAGCCGGGGCTCAGGAGCTGCTAGAGGCGCCGGCTTGTCTTCCGCCCCCTCCCTCCTCGCCCTCCCCTGCTTGCCGTGGCTCTCGCGGTCTCTGGAGCGTCTTCAGAGAACTGGGGGGGGGGGGGAGGGAGGTGTCCTGGCCCCAGAGCCGCTGGACGCCCCTCCAGACACCGAAGCTACCGGCCCCCGCCTGCTTCGCTGCTACGACTCTAGAGGAGGGGGCTTGGGAAGGGAAGACACGCCTCTTCTTTCTCTCCTCCTTTGGGCCCCTTTGGAAACATTAAAAAAATGTTTACGGTTTTCGATAGCTGAGATAGAACGGTTGGAAGCTCTTTGAAAGTTTAAAAGAAACGCACTCTCCCACATTGTTTAATGCATTACTGTCTGTGTGGCTTTCTGATCCTCTCCACCACCCACCCCACGCCCCCTCTCACGCTCCCTCCTTCCGCCCCCCCACCCCAGCCCCGCACCACTCCCCCCGCAGCTGTTATCCTTTTTTAAGGATGCTGAAGAGGCAGGAGGCAGGGATTTTCTAAAAGTTCTATTGATAAACACACTTGCACAAACATATGCTAGGCACACACATAAACTCTAAACATTAGCGAAAAACACAATATGGCGTACAGCTACACTACCTACCGCGGTAATCTGCTGATCTCTTAACACTGAACCCGGCTGAATGGGGTCAGTAGCAAGATGACAGTTCTCTAATAAAAATCTCATTGAAACAGGAAGTAATTTGGAAGTCTGTGGGTTAAATAATATCCTAAGAATCAGCATTGGCCTAAGCTAAATTGAACACGTCAACTTTCTAGACGTGTGAAAATTGTCTTCACTACTCTAGCTATTGAATAATACCAAGATGAAGCTCAAGGCGAGAGATTTTCTCTCTGCGTGATCGTGTGTAAGTTTCAGCTAATAAAATTAGCAGAGACTACTCGTTACCCCATGTTTTCAAGCTAGTTCTATCCTAAAGTTACTGTCGTAACTTGTTGCCATCTAAAGTTTTAAAACAAATTGTGACGAACGAACATTTTGTAAAAAAAATTCCATAGCTGTAAACACTACATTTAAATAAGCAGTAACATTAGCAAATTCAGTTAATAAATGGTTTACTTTCTTACCTCTTGCTCCTAATCCCAGATACCATTTGCTGTCAGATGGGAATAGTTAAAATATACGCCCCACTGCCCCTCATAGAAGTTTGACCAGTCCAGATTTGGCTACTTATCTGCATTTCAGCTTTACATGTAGGTATTTCTGTATTTCTAGGAAAAGAAGAAGAAAAAAAAGCAGTTTACACTGATTTTTCAAGTCTTTGTTTTGCTCTTTTGTTCTCAATCAGAATGTATCAAAGTTGATGCACAAATAGTGCATGGTGATACCACTGTGCCCTCTTGGGAATGGTCTTCCCTCAAAAAAGCTTTTGGAATTGCCCTTGAAGAATTCCTGATGTTACTCATTGTTCAGACCTCAAGGTTTAATTCCTAAAATTGTGGTTGTGATATCCATTGAGCTCAATTTTGGAGGGCTTTAGGTTTAAGAATATATGGTGCTCAAGTAAACAGGTGAGAAGAAGAAGAAAAGTGAATTTTCTAGAAATATATTAGCTGCTCAGTGAGTCCAGCAGTTGGGTATTTTTGGTTTTGTGATTTCAGATCTCACAGACCAGTGGAATACAGGCCTTTTGCATATGAAGATCAGGTGACAAGTTTACTGTGCACCAGCCTCCAAAGCAATACGCCCTTTCATGGTGAGGTCCCGATTTTAACAGACTAAAGAAAAAAGTTTAAGATTAAAAAGTTGTCAAATTTTATCCATCTTTGGGAAGAAGTCGTTATGCTTATCTGTCTAGTTCAATTAAGATGCCAGTATTTTAAGAGTACGACTACAGCAAAAAAAGAGAGAGTTCATGTGTATGTATACTCCCTAGCTACTGAAAGACAATATGAGTTTAGAGAAAAGAAAAACTTCTGTGTGAAAGTTATAATTTTGGGGGTATGTTTAGAACTACTAGATGTGATGCCGGTTTACTATGTAGTTAATTCAGAAAGTTTTTGTGACCCACAGGTATCCAACTAATCTTACCATCAAATTAATATGAGTTTGACTACTTGGTATTGGAATAAAAATCTAAGGAAAAATCCATTTTAAATGAATTATTTTTATATTAGTAGTGAAAATCTGAAGAGGGCTTTCTAACCAATTGGACTTCCCAGAAAAAAAGGCTCGACTGAATAATTAGGTCAATTTAGAAGATCATTAAAAGATACAACTTACTTACTGTAAAGGATCTAAAATTTATAAGTGAATTACAAATTATCTCAAATATTTTAGAATGAGTGACAAAGAGAGACTTATTTAAAACATTTGGAATACAGAAGTGGAGCTTGATGGGCTCTGCTTTATTCTCTAAAATAATCATGCTTTTCTGAAATGGATGTTTAAATTTATGAAATTGTTCTAGACACTTGGGATGTAACAGTGAACAAGATATAAAATAACCTGCCTTTGTGGAGTTTATGTTCTAATGTCACATATAGTTTGCATACTTCAGATTGTTAGGAGAAGAGATTTTTGTATGCAATTTTAAAACCTACCAGTTTTTTCATTTTAAAGAGTACAATTTGAAAGAATTAACAGAAGTTTGAGGAGCAGGGAGTTATTTACTAATTGCCAGTGATAAGAAAGGAAGAGCTAACTTTACTTGTACCCCTTAGTTTTTGTCGTGAAACATTCTCCATACATTTCAGTAGGTCTTTTTAACTGATAGAGGTTTTATTTTTTTTCATAATTTTAAGCATGCCTATGAAATAAATAAAATGTTACTTTATATTAAAAAAAATCTGTGTCTTGGAATTTACTGTAAAATTCCGATGGAGCTTTTTATCTTGTTAGCAAATTGTGGTGAAATATAAGCTAGAATATCTTAATTTTTCAGTAAGAATTTGTTTTAGGAGTATATCTGAAAAATGAACTGCCTAAATCTTTTTCAGTTGTGGTTTTATCAAGAGAAGATGGAAATTTGTTGTAATTAATTTATAGGTGACATTAAAGAGAGAGAAAGAGAGAGGCCTGCAAAAAATGCTTTGTTATTTAAACCTTTCTTTCAAACTACAAAAGCATTTGATTGGCACTTCTCTGATTTAATAGACCATTTGTAATGCAAGAGGAACGTTACAGAAGATTTTAGCATTACTTTAATCATTTAGTCTGTAGGTGTAAAAATCCTAGGTTTCTACAGAAGGAAACTTGGTGCTTGGTTAACGGAGTGTATGATTTAACACTGAGTTTGTTGCTTTAAGTAGTGGGTGTCTCACCTTTCCAAAACCTAGTTCATAGTTCTAAAATAGCAAGTTCTGATTTTTCGTTATTTTTCTCTGTCCCAGTGAGTCTTATTTTGTTAGCCAAATCAGTGTTCATTCTTAAGTAGGATAACTTTTTTTTTTTTTTTTTTAAACACACAATTCTCCCACCGCCAGTCCTTCCATCCCCTGCTGTGAAGGGCTTGAATTTCTATACCTACATTAGATCTCTATTTATGCTAATTTGTAGCATAATCACCTCTTCCAGAAAGGGTACGTATGAATGCACTTTAGAGAATAGTCGTGGTTGCTTCTGGCTATTTGTATACAGACCTGCCAGCATATGAAAGGTATAAATAGGAAGATTTAGGAAGAAAAGCAGAGGCTATACTAATGGAATATATTGTCTTAGATGAAAACTTTTTTTAAACAGCAGTGGAAGAATGGTTGCTAGAATGTTAAAAAACGAAGAGCTTTTTCTATTTGTAATGGTTGATTAATGTGTGTTTATCTGTATCTGAGTATACATTTATATATGAGCATTTTTGAAAAAAGACATATTTCCGTATTGGATAAATAATTTCAGTCCTGCCTCGTGGTCCTTAATATGTTCCCAGGTGTTTTGTTTAACTCACTGTTACCTACCTAAACTTTGCTCCAAGCAACATAGAAACATAAGCTAATTAAATCTTTGTAAATTTTGTAATAATTTTGGATTAAAAGTTACTGGAAGTTTTTTTTGAAGCATGATTAGCAAGCATCCTCTGAAATTAATGAAATCTAAAGTGAAGAGTTCTTAGAATCCTGGATTCACAGGACAGTTGAAAGTTTCAAAAATGGGTGTTCATAGGGCAAAAGACAAATC